CACTGAGATTTTGGGCATCTCCTGTTCCATCTATCCTATAACTCCACAGATTAACCCCATTTCACATACATTTTTTATAGCTTTTTATATTTTATGCTTTACATAGACTCATTTTTGCAGATTCCTTGTTTTGAGCAACCTGGTGTGATGTCGTGGCTGGCCCAGCTTTGAGCAGGAGGTTTGACTAGAGATCTACTGAGGTCACTTCCAACCCTAGTCATCCTAGGTTCCTAAAATCCTCTGCACTCACCTTTTTTTTTTATTTTTTCCCCACTCCACCACTTTTCAGACTAGTTATAGGTAGAGACACTAAATCTATTTCTTCAAATCAGGAGTCTTTCAACAAAGATAAGTATATAATATTTTTCTACATAAATTGCCAGTTCCCTTGATTTTAATTCATAGGGTTAAGACTCACGTGAGAGCAGTAAGAAAATGGATTTATTTCATGTCGATTGCTGCACAGGTTCAATGTTGAGTTTGAACTGCCTGGACCTTCACAAGTAGCCAACTAAACAAGCTTGTTTAAAGATGCCTTGGCTGTTCCAGCTGTTGTTTGGCTGAAAGGTTAGTATTGTGCTGTATGGTTCATGAGCTGAGGGTCAGGCTGTGCTCAGCACAGACATGCAGCTTTCAGCCAGCTCTGAGGACAGGTATGACCAGCTGTCTAGTGGGGAATGGGGGGAGACCAATCTCAATACGTCTCAGTCAGATTGTGTCTTCCACAAACCCCGAAAACTGACCTTTATCCAATGTGCTAAAAGTGCTGAAATTTCTAGTATACTGTTGCTGTAGCCAGCTAGAACCATCTCACCATGTCCTGCCTTTCACTCTTCAGCTTGCCTCACAACTCAGAGCTAACAGGGGGCAACATCTGCTCCCCTGTATCCTTCAGGGCTGAAGGAGCAAGAGGTGGTGAGGAGATTATTAAAAAAAAGCAAACCAAACAAAAAGAAAACCAAAAGCTCAATGGTGTAAGGCACATGTTAGGATCTTCTGAGCACTGTATAGCAGCTGAGGCCCAGGGATCTGGGGGATGAGTCATTTAAGCCACACATAAATTTTCCTCACCATCTCCCCACTTCACATGAAAGGAAAGAGGGTCAGAGCCAGACCATCTGGACAACTCTGTGGAAGCAGAGGCCTGCAGAGAGGATTGGGCCGCCCACAATGCTTGGAAGAAAACAAAGCAAAACAACTTGCTTTGCAGAACTTCCTCAAACACGCTCATCAACAGCTATCAGCTGGTTTTATATCAATGGACATTTACAATGATTGACCCTGATTTCTACTCTCCAAATGGAAAAGAAGTTTAAACTGAAGAAAAAAAAAAATATTATGAAGAAGATGACACTATGGAGAAGATCACATGATGATGAGGATGACATTCAATTAAATCCATGATAATGTTTCAGGGCCATTGCCACTGAAGCTAAGAGAAATTTGCCACAGAATATGCAGCACTGGTTAGAAGGTGCTATAAGGATTCAGAGTGCTTCACTGTTGTCACACTGCCTTACTACATTCACAAAGAGTTTAGAAGTTAAATTTGAAATGGAAATTCATAGAAAAGGCATCTGAACAAACAGCATAATATGCCACCAGAAAATGTAGCTTTACAGAGCTGTTGAATTTGTATGAAAATCTCAAGACAATTCTTCATTGATCAATTTTTATTGCTATACAAATCTTCCCCCATGCGGATTACTGCAAACCAGTCACAATTAACATTTGTTCCTTTATTATTAGGCTAGAAAATTTCTAGCTTTCATAGCTTTCCCAATTATCACTTTCTATTAGCACCATTACCGAATCTACTTTTTTTTCCCTAGGATGATTTCAGCATTTTTCAGTTCTGAATCACTCAGCAATAAAACATACAATGGAGACAAATTTGCAGTTTTTCTATAGAGTTATGCTATTTATTCAGGAAAGTATGAGCCTGTCTCATGCTCAATATGCCCTAAAAAGGTATATTTTGCCTAAAAAGGCAAAATTAGATTAAAATTTCTGTTAATGTTACCACACCTGTCACCACAAGAAACACTACATATGCATAGCAGTAAAGGACTGTTGGTTTCATGAAAAGCAGGATATATATTTAATGAAACCAACTCTGTTAATCTTACTTTTTGGTGGCCAGGCTTTATAAAATGTGTGTGTATATTTATATTTTATTTTTTTAAACTGCAAAGGGATGTGATAACTGTCACTGTTTCCTTTTCCTGGATTATGGAAAGTGTCTGTGTCCCCTTATACTGCTAGAAAATTAAATAACCCACATAAGTAACTTTGGAATCTCCTCAAGTTCAGAAATTAATGGGAGAAAAATTGCTACACAAATAAAAATAAAAATAAAATTATTACCTCTGGAATGATCACTACTAGAAGGATTTTAAGGTGCTAGAAAGCTTGGGAGTTTTAAAACAAAGAGAATACAGAGGTCAGGAAAATCATCTTTAGATTAAATGAATGACATAAGAATGTATGTATCAGAGAAAACATTACGGTCCTCAAACATAACTAGCTTTCCTTCTAACATATATGTTAAGTTATGATGTAGAGTGGATATATATCTCAATAATACCAAGAATTAAAAGTTCAGATAGAGTCATGATAGAGGCGAATTTCTGTCATCTCTAACTTGGCACAACTATAGGAAATGTGGAAGAGATATAGATAGAACATAACAGCCTCACCATGAAGTTGGGCAATGGTACAACTCCAAATCTTAATTAGTTTATTGAGTAGCTCTATCAAGAAGTTGCCCTGTTAATGAAAAGAATGTTACCCATCCTCTGCCTGCTGCAGTGCTGGAGCGATTCCAGCAAGCTTAGGATATAGATTTATACACTTGTTTCCACAGTCCATTTGTATAAACAAGTAGCTCAGAGGATTTAGCTAACCCCCATCTGGTTACTTTAAAAGCAGAAGTACGAAAATATCAAAGTTACAGGAAAAAAAAATAAAATCATTTTAACTGGTCTCCATCTGGCAATTTTAATAATGGAAATGCAAAGTTACAAAACGTGCCAACTATCCAGGTTTTGCACAAAAAGATACACTGTGATTAAAAATGTTTTAAAAATTCCTGTACAGGACAGGTTAGCTAAGACTTTAGCTGAGGTGCAGCTAACTTCAGTATTTCAGGAATCTAGGTCACATGGAAAACTCTTTTTCTCCTAAATTCTGGGGTTTACAGCAATGCATAATTATTGTCCTGTAAACCAACTTGCAAAGAAGAGCCCTAATGAATATTAGGATTCCTTTCTTCTGGATCGGAGTCTAAAGCTGGACAAGATTTCTAGAATACTTCCTTCTGCAACTGATGATGTGATATTAATTTAAATTTTTAAAACTTTTTTACATTCTTTGAAATATTTTCTTTTGACTAATATGTTTAGTAGCTGAAAGTGTTAAGATTGCTCAGGAAAGGCCTGATCAAATGCTCATTTGAAAGATGAAAAGAGGAAAAAAACCTCACTGACTACTTTTAGTTGAATTGTACAGATCAGAGTTGCATATCCTGTTAAGAAACTTGGATGCTGAGATCATCAGTGCTGCAACATTTAATGCAATGTATTTTCTAAGTTAGTCCAAAACATTTCCACAGCAGGTGTGGAATGATCATGGTTTGCAGTTTTCTTCTTATTATTTTTTTCTTTTGTTCTTCCTACTTCTCACTTTTGTTTTGTTTCACTTTGAATACTTCACAGTGTTTGTATTTTGAAAGCTGGCCTATTTTCCCTCACAAAGCAGCAGATTCAGTTTGTGGTATAAATGCTAAATCAGCATGTGTCAAACTTGTTAAACCTTTTTTATGCCAAGCCTTGAAGGACCTGATAAAATAAAGCTGTAAAGATATACATTTTAATAAAACATTATTCATGCACTGTTAGTCCACAAAATATTCTCATGTACTATATAGAAATGAAAAGCAACATTTCTCTGGCCTAAAGCTAACTTTTTATGACTCCCTTGGTAATTTTTCCATTCTTTAATACTGCTTTATTTATTTATTTTACAATAGGCTTTCAGAAAAGAGATGGCATTTTTCTTGACACGTTTGCATGTGATTTTTGTTTTTTCCTCTGACCTTTTACATCATCTATAGAAAATTTAATAGGGATATGGAAATCAGACAGAGTAACTGCTAGAAGCAATGTGTGCTGATCAAAACTGAGAGACAGTAGCCCTGTTCAGAGTGGAACTGTGGTTATTTGGTTCAGACACTGGCCTGGGAGTCCTGAGATCTGGGTTTTCTCCCTTAATCTCCCTGACCCCCCTCTGTGATACCCGCTCTCTCTTTGCTCAACAGGAATGATAATATTTACATTCTCCCATACTTTTGTCTATTTAAATGATAGGTGGCTTGAGAATCCTACCAAGTTTCATAGTGCTGCTACAGTGTAAAGCGCGGTGCAGTTATTTCAGCTGATGCTTTTAGATATGGCCATAAGGTAAAAACTAGGGACCTAAGCATGTTTCCTGAGTGTGAGACTCTGATGTCCTGCAAGTCCTAGAAAGAAAGCCCTGAGAAAAGGAGGACTCCAGTGCTGGCTTCTAGGCAAAGCCAAGGCTTTGTGTGCTTAAATACTGAAGTGTGAGGTTTTTATGTTCCTCTACTCTGCTGTGGTGAGACCCCACATGGAGTGCTATGTCCAGCTCTGGAGTCCTAAGCACAAGAAAGACATGGACCTGTTGGAGCGTGTCCCGAAGCGGCTACAAATAAGCCCCAGATGTGTCACAACCATGCAGACCCTTTTCAGGGGCTCTCAAGAATGCAAACTAATCAAAGGGTCAGCCATAGCTCTCCTTGAATTTGGCCGTGCTGTTGCTGACTGAGTGACCAGCAACCAAGGTCAACATCTGGACTGATAGGGAGTTCTTCAGGAAGAAACAAAAAATTTCTGGTTTGAGGCAGTAGCAACCGGTGGCTGTGCAAATATCAAGGACTGTATCTGGGTTAACTATAGAGCCATAGAAAATCACAGGACTGCAGGAGATAATTATCTTTAATATGACATGACAGAGTATCTTTTTCTTTTATTATGCAAAAAATGAGGTGCATGGAGAAAGAGGCAGAACTGCTGTTGGGGATGTAGTTTAGCTCCTCCACTGTAGGCACTGGTAGCACAAAGCAACTTATTCTTTCTTTTTCTCCCCATGCCTGAGAGTATTTTTTCCTGTCTTGAAGGAGTCCCACTGTTCTTCCCTGCCTTCCACACCTGCTCTTTTCTTTGTCTGCTGAGCTACAAAGTAAAACAATAAACATTCAAGGCAGAAAAATTCATGTGGTTTGGCTCCAAATACTCAGACGCTGATGAACTAAGAAAGAAAGGAAGATTTTTTTATTGTTGAGCCTTTAGTTCCTCCTTCAGCAGATGAACTATTCAAATATGAAGGTTAAATCCATGTTCCACCACATTTAAAGGTATTTTGGGCTGAGTTGTTCAGTGGGATTCTTGCCAAAAGAGCAAGCATACAGGGAGTGCTGGTTGGTTGTGCAAAAGTGAGTAGAAAACTGTCCTAGGGTTTGGGAGGTAGGTTTTGCTGCACTGTCATGCTGGGGGATTAATGCAAGCCACTTAGCATCTTCTTCCTCCCCCTTGCTGTGCCTTAGGTTCAGGAGGAGCAATGACATTTTTCCCCTTTGTACTGATTTGAAAGCTACTGATGATAACTGCTACTTAAGGATTAGTTAGTAAAGGAAAGAGGAAATTCTTGGGGGGGGGGAGGAGAAAAGAACAGTAAATATGCTTTTTAGTCAAATTGTATACTACATTTTTAAGGCAGGGAAAAAAAATCCCTTTCTCAGAAAAATGACATTTCAAGAAGAATCTTTTATTTTCACAACACATTTTTTCTTCCTACTGAAAGAACGTGGATGAAAAATTTTCACCAAGCTCTGAAAACAAATTAATGCCTTGCTTTGCTAAACATTCTTTTATAATATGGTTTTATTATTCACAAGCAAAGAGAAACTTAAAAGGAAAGACTGGTTGATTTCCCATATCCCTGTAAGTGAAGCTGTTATTATGTTTGCTGCTGCTCAACAGGTCATAATGTTCCACTGTGTGTCTTAGACCTGAAGGAGCAAGGGAATACACATTCATTTAAAGACACTGCAGTACTGCCTCCATAAATCCCTTCAATGGGACAAGATGTAGGCCTAGCTTGATGAGATAAAGATAGCATTTTATACCAGGTTTTCAAGCTTCATTCTAAAGAGTCATTGATTTTGTGGGTATACATCAGATTTTTTATATTATTCGGGATATCATTGTCTACAATTTCATTTTTTACTTCAAAAATAGCAGCAACTGACTGGCAACACCCAGAATACATCCTACAACATCCATCTACTGTGTTTTAGGATCTTGATGTAATGCAATAAAGCACTTTTATTTCATATGAAGAATGATTCATACTGAAGTTAATGCCTTCAGTGTAACACATCCACACTGGGTAATGTTATCATAGCATGTATTTCTTCTCTAAGAGTTAGCTTACTACCCAACTTGCTTTTGCAATGAATGTTTGCATGATGTAAAACAGCCACCTTGATACTAATAGAAATAAATGGATGAAAGAACACAAAAAATTGAGGACTTTTGCTTACTATTTAAATTCCTTCAAATAGCAGTGCTGTGTGAAATTCTAATACATTCTCTCAGCAACAGTCAGATATTAAAATGGTCCAAAGATTAGAAAATCACTTAAAAATGTAATTAATACAGCAGCACAATTCTCTGTGGTCTGTAAGATACGATGCATTTAGTGTAGCAAATAAAACATAGCATAGGACAGTCATCGACGTGTATTATACATCTAAAATATGTACATAGATTTACTGTATTAGCATTGCAAACTTTGAATTTTCTGGCCTGGATGCTAAAGAGCGATATTTAATTTAATTTTACAGGTTCTTTTCTATTGTTTAGTTTAGTTTGTTTTTTTTTTTTAGCTAATTTCTTCAGAAAATTCTGAGTTTTAAACCAATAGTGATAAAATTGGCAACTAAATATGTAAGAACATATCCTAAATAAACCACCCCAGCCTCCTATTTATGATCTGTAGGATCACAAATTGGAAAGGACCAGAAGAGATTGTCTAGTTCAGCCTCCTGCTCAGTCAAGGTCAGGTTAACTTTACCACAGACAATAACTTGTATTTGGTGTCTCAACCTTCATAGTGATGTTTGGTTAAAGGTTCAAAACTAGGAAGGTGCTCTTGTTTGCAGCAGCCAGCTGCACACTGAGAAAATTTGTGCATTGTTTCTTTGCAATGATAATGTGTTTCCTCAGGGACCTCAGTTTCTGAAGCCATTATAGCTCTGAAAACTTCATGAAAGTTCTGCCATGAGATGATGTTGTTTTGCTCATTTCAGAGGAACTCAGTTTTTAAGGACTTCAAAATTGTGAGCGCTTCTCAAAATTTGACAGTTGCCTGAAGTTACTTTGTATAAAGGCTGAGATGCTACTACAGTTAATACACAAAAAATTGTAGAGCAGGGCAACAAATCTTTTGTGAGTGATCTATAGCCATACAAAACATGCTGTATAATCCTTGAATCTCTGTTCTTCAGCCCAATGTACTGATCTTCACATGTTCTTAATATTTTCCATATCTTTATACTCTATAATCCCTTTTCTGGGACCAGTGAGGAAGAACCGAAATACTGAAAAAGTGGTTGTTACAGTTTTCCAAACTCTTGGGCAAGAGTATTGTTATGGGTCCAAGGAAGACACTATGCCACTAGATTTAAAAATCACACTGCAGACTTTCATAATGTTGATAAAGATGAAAGCCTCTGTAAATTTTATTAACACTGAGTCTTCAGTCATTGAAGGTATTTATTCAGGCCAAATAATCTTCCTGAAGAGAAAGTCTGAGCAGAGTGATGAACAATATGAAGTAGATAATTGCAAGATTAAGTCTGAGAACACACTCAGAAGCCTAATTCCTTTTCATCGGACAATGTGGAGACTTAAAAGAATAATATTTAAGACAACTGACTAGGCAGTAAAGAGGAAGAAAATTAATGATAGAGCATAAACCAGAAAATAGATGGTGATTAGGAAACCACAAAAAGTTATATATTTAGAACTACTTTCTGAGTCTTACTACCTCAGTGTTATGAATGTGGTGACAAAGTGATGGGGTTTTAGTAAAGAGTACAATTAAAAGGCAATAGACACAGCTAGCCAAGAGCTCATGGTGGAGCTAGTACTACACAGAGAAGCAGAGATGGCTGTGGCACTCAGAGCACCACAGTGGTCTCAGTGACCAGCAGGAACAATCCATTTGAGAGGTGGAGCATTGTGCTCACACCACTGTGCTGCTCCTGCTACACAAAGGAGCCTGATCTGACCCCATGGCTGACCCTGCTGTGAGCAGGACCTTGTAGGGATGAGGTCCCTTCTAGCCTGAATTAACATATGAGCTTATGATCTTAGGATCCCAAGACAAAACTGACTTGGACATTGTTGTTTGATGCAAGGTTGCAAGGTTAAATGAATTGAAAGTCCACTTAGGGTTGCACCTGAAGAGAGAGGTGAGTAAGGTAGACAAAGAGTGGCCTTTTTTCCTCTTTCTAACCACTTATATGCTTTCAGGCCTTAGTTATAATATGTTCAATGCAATGCTAATTCCATGTGAGCTGCTGTGCAATGGGTGTACAATACTTTCCATTACAGTGTTGGGGTCAATGATATGGATAATTAGCTAGGCCTGTGGTTCAATACATTAATTCTCTCTGAAGCAGTAGTAAAACGTACGTTGACTCTTGGTAACCTCAGTGTAGATGTTGTAACCTTGTAATGGATGTGGATGCAATAACCTGCTTGACCTTGTCTACTTGAGATAAGGTGTTTTCTTAAGTGATGATGATGAATGCTGCTCTTTTAGGGAGCCAGAGAGTGTCATTAAACTAGCTAATATTTTGCTGCCCTCCCATGTAGTGCAAGCATAGCTAAAGGGCAGCAGTACTGTCAAATCCTTATAGACTGGAACAGGGAATAAAGCAGAGAGAAAACAGGATGATAAAAGTAGATAAAGGGCCTAAGGTGAATTCAGGCCTAATAAACAGTACATTGAATTGTTTTGTTTGCTCAGTTTTTTCCCTTCCCCAGTAAAAGTAGTTCAATAGTTTTGTTTTTTCAGCAGCTCAACCCCCCTCAACTCTCCCCACACTCCTCAGTCACAAACCGAGTTCATCATCTATCAATAAAAGCATTTCAGATCTCTCTAGACCTGGAGACACCAGGCAGAGTTATTAGTTCTTCTCCAGTTTATTCTGAGGTGCCAGAGTTCAAAATGAAAACGAACAGATTGCTGGTAGCCATGCCAGAGCCGGAGAACTGCACAGATCTATCCCTGCATCAGCCTCTGCGTCTATATGAACACAAACAAGCACATCCAAAGACACCAAATTGAGAATAAATGGCTATGTGCAAAGCATTTTTGTCTGTCATAAGCCTTAAGCAACTAGAGGGCAAATTCTCTGCTGATGTAATTAGCACAGCATTGTTAAACTCCATGGACCTGTACCAGTTTAGAGACACATGAGATTTGACCCCATTACTTTATTTAGTGACACTTATAGTAATTTCAAGTCAAGTCTGCATTGCTATATTCCAACAAGTAACACTCTTAAACTCAGCTGCTAACATTTCCTCCTCTAAATGTTGTGCAAGCAATTGTCTTTCCTTTATGATCAAACCTAGACCATGGAAGCAGGTGATTTTTTTGTTATCTGTGTAGCAGTTTATATCCTAAAGAACACCAACACAGTTTAGAGACTCTGAGGCACAATTATCCACTTTGTGAAGACAACTGCAGCCGGGGGAAATGCAATCTTTTTATAGTGATACGAGACAAATATATTTAAATAGCAAATACAATGAGTTTTCCCAATGACACTCTAGGCAGGTAGGAAGTTCTTGTTTATTCTTCGTAAAAAAAACAAGAAACCTAGCAGTGTTGTGTTATGTTTTGTGAGTTTAGAAGAACAGATTTGTTCTTTGATGACTGGGAAGACATCATTCCTTAAGAGGAATCACTGGCATCTCGGTGCACATAGATTTTCTTTGGCTCATCATCGTGATAAAGACTCCAGGTAACACTTTGTTTAATTCAAAAGTTATGGTAGGCTCATACCCAATGCTATGCATTTCCCTGAGAAGTGGAATATTCTGCATATATAAGCACGCTTCAAAAAAGATTTTTTAGTTACAGAGAAGCAAATTAG